TCGGATCCCAATGCCAGTAAGAGAGTCGCTTCTTAGTTGACACACGAAGCGCTCATGATAGGATGAAGGCAGAAGTAAGGGCGGTGAAATGTCGTCCTGCGACTGGGGAGTGGGCTGCATTGGCGCCATAGAACAACAAATAACAAATCAGACAAAGCAATTGGAAATCCGGAAACCGGTGCACCACCTAGAAACAGGGCTTTAAGGACGACAGCGGTGAGGTACTGCATGCTTATATCTCTCTGGGGGACTGAAATAGTAGGGAAGCGTGCCAATAGTAAGAAACCCTGATTCGTGCCTCATAGGGGTCACAATCGCAGCTAGAGATGTGATAGCAATTACCAGCATGGTCAATCACACTTAGTGGAGCAGGCTGTGTACGGAAGTGCTGTGAATCCAGTCCAAGTTACAGGGCGGGCTTGCGTAATTCGATTCCCACTCGGTCATCTATCGCTGAAGTCTCAAATAACAAATCTTTTGGATTACAGTTTCGGACTTCACCTCGAACCGGTGGCCAGAAGCGGTCTCTGTGGAATACCTGGATCTAGGGCTACATACCATCTCGGCCCGTTATTCGTGTGAGGATTAGCACCTTCACAAATATAGTTCTGTGCGTTTCAGATTGACCATGCCAATGGGAATAATTACGGTTCAAATGGACAAAGTGAATTTCTTCACCAAGTTCTCGAATGAAGCAATCTTATGAGCTATCGGCAGAGAGACGGACCACGATGAGTTGTTTTCCAAAAATACGTAAAATGCTATGGCGACTTCGTATCACTATCAAGTGCTCTCAAACTCCAATCATTCAGCCATTTGACGACTGATCTGGGGCGCTTAAACTTCACCTGCTTCAGGACAGTGAGAAGCTACCATAAACATGTACTTAGCCACTTAGTCGACATTAGTTAACCTCTTTCTCAGACAGCAACTGAATAAACTAAATAGTCATGTGAAGTCCAAAGGGAACATCGGCAATCCTTTGTCCGGGGCGTCTGCGACGTAGCAAACACGTTGTGCCGATAAAAGTAGTCGATAAAAGTAGTCGATAAAAGTAGTCGATAAAAGTAGTCGATAAAAGTAGTCGATAAAAGTAGTCGATATAAGTAGTCGTTGTTTTGACACGACGTCCTGGCCAGAGAGGACATCCTTGTACGAGGCGCAAGTCGCTTTTGAAGTCAGCGACGGATTCGCAAACACCGGTGGCCATGGATCACGGTATGGAGCACTTACGTGCCGGGTCTGCTGCTAAAGGAGAACTTCCAACTCAGCACGGTGCAGCATCTGGCCAACAGCTGTTGGTTAATATCGAAATGCTGTCACTGTGTTGTCGCTTTTGTCCTGATTCTTCTGGATCGACAATACACTCACGACTAGGAGAGGTTCCCTCTGGATGTGTCGACTCGTCGCGTTGTCTTCCAATCGGCCAACGACGAAATAATTTGGGTAGTCCCGTCCAAGCAAGCAGTGTGGTGGCGAGCAGCTGATGTACCTTGTAGAATCGTTAAATGGAGTACCTTCAGACCTTTTACTTTCTCTCGGCTTACCACGTAGCACAGTGCCGTCGTAGCACTGCTTTGCAAGTGTACGACGAGACCGAAGGTTACAAAGGCTGTGCAGATATTGACAAACGACCGGACCACTTCGAAAGAGAGCACGACCTCTGCCGGCACTTTGCCACTCGGCAGGTTGTTCAGGATGTCTCGAAACGAGTGCTTTTTTCTTCGCATGCGCGCCAGAAAACACCCGGCCCAAACACCCCTGACAAGACAGGAAAAGAACACCGAGAAGGCGAATAGAAGCGGCCCCATAATACCGTGGTCCCTAGAGCCTCTCGCTTAGTTCTCCCAAACAAATAATTGTAAGATACTCACCAGATAAAACTTGAAATAAACAGGGCGATAGGAACCAATGCCACGCAGGCGGATAAGACCGCCACAAAGACTGATTTTACGTCCCAATCAAGCGTAAAGAAAGGTATGATATAGCTAGAATAAAAAGTGTCGAGTGTGCCGGATACCTCAATGACCTGTACGGACCTTTAGAATAGTCCTAGGGCGAATAGAAGACTCAACCAACGTCCACAAAATTGATGAGGAAAAGAGACGTTCGGCTGAGATAGATGGTCTCTTGGAGCAGTTGTTTCTTGACAACAGCGACAAGCGCAGCAGCAAGCGGTGTCAAGGCGCAAGTATTGGCCAAACAGGTATAGGGAGCTATGTGCTTCGGTGTTTTCAAGTTGACAACGGCTGACAGCCAGTAAAGGGAGGTTAAGACCAGGCTGCAGATACTACATGCGAACCCAAGTTCTGCCATGATGTTGGACAACCGGTGAGGGAAGAACGAATGAATGGAAGCTCAGAGGAAAAAAGGCAACCAGGGAACGAGTGAACGTGCAGGACAAAGGATCTTTATCTCCTAGGCGTCTAGAGGAGTTGAAGCGCTCACCCAAGTCTCGTCTCCGAGGTGGCCTCCGAACTTCGCGTTGCGTCAAGGTCAGCGGCCCACGACTCCCGACGCAGATCTCGTTTGATCTTCCCCCTTACTTGCGCGTGGTGGTGACAAAAGACGGCCTCATTGCACTATATCACAGTACTGCAGTCCGTGGGTGGGACGATCGAGTGTATAGCGTAACCAGGAACCTAAGTGGGACGGTTCTAAGGTGCTTAATGAGACGGATGTCCATCCAATTATGCATTCAATAGTGAGAGTCGGAGACCGCTTATGGCAAAAGGAGAAGAGTCGGGACGCGCGACCAAACCGTTCAGGCGAAGATTTCGACCCTGTAAAATTGGCAACTACGTGACAAGCTTCATGGAAAAGTGGAAACTCACCGTGCAGGCTACATTTCATGTGATGAATATGCTGGAAATGCGGCCTCTCCGGTTGCATTAGTTCCAATACTGGCTGAGAATAGATGTGCTGTCGGCCCACTTTTGTTGAATTCTGGGAATTCGATAAAAGCGGGTATAACTCGTTTGCGCTGGCGTTACCATGGGCATCCATTGTCCCTCGATTTCTAGTCAGCCCGCCCTCAGTACCCTGACGCAACACAGAGTTCAGCGATGGGAAGACATGGCCGATACCACTCTCGAATCTTCGCCTATCCGGGTTGTTGTACAATATATCTCGCAGAGTAAGGTCGATGAGGCGCACGACTTAGCATCGAGGGGTCAACAACAGCTTTATGATATTGCAGAGACAGAAAGAACCGAGTTTCGCTTCCCTGTCTCCGCCAGTGAACACTTCGCTCAGGTCGAGGTGGCGATCCAACCTGTGTGGGAAACGTCGCGATATCCATTGTTTGAACCTCACGTCCGGTACCAACCCTGCTGCGAATTTGCTGCTCAAGACGACAGCACCGACAAGAAATTCACGTCAAATATTCTACTGGTCTATGATACATACATCCGTCCGACAAAACGCAAATTTGATGATGGTTGGTATGGCTGACCACCTTTGTCCGTCCACTAAGTAGAACTGACTGAAACCAGCAGACAGAAGGATCCTCCTCCCGCGGATCAAACACATCTTCCTCGACTTGCGCGCAGAAGAAAAGACGTTATGTCCAAACAAACGACCAGGTGACTGAAAGAGCGAACGATCCTCTTCCTTCTCGTCCGAGCGAGGGATGCGAGGCCAGCCCAGCCAAGGTGACACACCGGCAACTTGCCTCGAAATTGACTCAGCAGGCTCCTCATAGTAACGTCGAGAATGACTCTGGAAGCTCGGAAGTCGTGGAATCTGACAGTCAGAACCTTGGGGAAGGCCAGGGCGAGGAAGACAACAAGGTGGTGAAGATTGCCAATTCCGTGATAAAGAAGGTCAAGAAAGTGATAATGGAGAAGGAGAAGAAGGAGAAAAGACGAGCCAAAAGAACGGAACCATCCGATTTATCCCTCGAAGGTATTTGTTCAAGAGAGCTTTCAAAGCCGGGGTTTCGATGCAAGAGTTTGGAATGGGTGGAGACCTTCGAGCAGTCGGCCACCGATGGAGAAACAAGTCTTCGAGGCCTCCGCACTTTGGAGAATGACTTCACTAAGGTTTGGGACAGTGTACGGAAACATGGGGTGTGGACTTATTGGTATTACGCTGCAAGTTTTAGCTACATTCGTTATCTGTTTGGGAAGACCCAGATGGATCGAAGAGCGAAGGCAGTACGCGTGATCAATCGGAGTTTCAGTCACCTTTGGTCTAGTGATGGCCCGGCTGCAGTCATGCTCCTTTATGCTCTTGCCGGTGAGTCTAACCCAGGATACCGCGTCCACGAAGAGATGAAAACTAAATGGTATAGAGAAACGGTATACTCTTTGTGATGCTAGTTATGTCTCCGACCAGCAGCAAGACAAGATTATCACGCTCATTGTGAAAGGTTTGACCGGGGCATTGAAGGAGCCTCCTGAGGGAGCTCAAATACCATTTCCGGTCGTTTGGGTCAGTTTCTTTTTAAAGATCGGGTATGTCTATTAAGTGTACCAGTGGTTGCCTTGTACTGAGATGTGAACCATAGTTTCCAGGACGCCTGTCGGGCGCTTGATTTAGACGCACTTGCCGAAATCGAGCTGCAACCAACCTGGGAGACGTGCCCGGATGGACAATTTGAGCTACGTCAAGGGCATGAATACGCTTTCTTGAAAGCACGATGGGCATCATTGCATGCTAGCTCAGGACTGTTACACTGCGAGCAGGAAAGCTCATGCTCGCCAGAGCTTGAGGTGGTTGAGGACGGCGACCGCGCATACGCACTACAGACTACTTCTCAGGACGTACCTTCTCCGAACGCCCCTTCCCAGGACGTCCCTTCTCAGGCTGTCGCTTTTCAGGACGTACCTTCTCCGAACGCTCCTTCCCAGGATGTCCCTTCTCAGGATGTTCTCTCCGCTGAATTTTGGCTGAAGGGCTTTCAAGACAACGACATCAGAGAAATGCACTTTGAAGACGCTTTCTTGTCTGTCCTCGGCTCTTCGGAGTTCGCCTAACCGAATCGTTGTCCCACATCCCTATTGAGCCAGATCGAGATTTTCAAGCAGCCTCGGCCAGTGTTTCCTCTGGGTTCTGTGCTCCTTCCGCTTCCCGCTCGATCTCGTAGGGTGTGAAATTCCCAGTAACCGACCAGCCCCGACAAAAAGACCTTCTTTCCCTCCCTCCAGCACGAGGATATCGCCTACTGGAAGGTCGAAAGGGTCAATGGTGGGAGGACGACGCGACTTCAAGATTGCAACTCGGCGTTCCTCGCGGATTTTCGAGACGAGGATTTGAACAGGTGCTTGGGTCATTCCCGTTGGTATTGGGGCCTTTACACCCTTACTGGTTTCCGGCTCCTCTGGGGACCGAGAAACTTCATTGACGTTACTCATGTGGACAGTTTGGGGGGTTTCCGGCGCCTTGGTTTCACATGATGGCAGAAATTCCCTTTCGGTGGTAATCTTGTCGTCGTTGTCGTGGTGGTGGTGTATTGTTTCAGGATCACGAAGAACTATCATCGCCACGACTTGGTTTGCTTTGACGTAGAAGTGGTTCGTGAGGAAACTCCATTTATCACGGTGTATCCGAGAAAGTCTTTGTCCCTTTTCTCTATAGTGATCGAGAATGATTGGGTGCTCCTAGCCATCAGCAGTGATTAAGACCCACCGATGGGAATCTAACCTACGTAGTATCTTTTAAACAAATTGACCAGATTCTGAGATTGTTCGTTACGTTCCTGTGGACTAGGGAGAGAGGGCAATCGCCAGTGCCCTTTTGGTTCTCGCTCTGGGATGAGGTCTTCGGCGCGCAATACGACCCGCGAAGCGACCTCGCGGAACTCATCGCTGGTTTTAATGGTGAGCATGTTGGCTGTGCGCGGACTTCGATAGAGAATCTGGATGCGAGAATGAATATATTTCGAGAGGAGCTGCGATATATAATGTCCAACGAGCAACGTTTTGAAAGATTTCTTCCAATGTGGAATTGGATACTCTGTAGGCCACGTGGAATGCTGTGATGAATTCGAAGTTGTGGTTCGAGATACGTAGATTTCGAGACAGAATTTTGACACGTCATCATACATATTCGCGCTCCAATCCACGGGATTGTGTGATAGCGGCGACGGAAAGTTGGTGTCACTAACGAAGGTGGGGCCAAAAATCTTGCTGCTATAGGAAGAACGCCCTCGGGACCGACGCACAGACAGAAGCCTCTACAGGAGGCCAGTTCAGGTAGCTTTCCTGCAAGACACTACCTTCAGCCACAATCAGATCATACCCCCAAGAGAAGATTCCTTAATAGCTTCAGTCGCTCAACCATGATATATCCGGTTGACCACCAGAATCAGCGTACCGTGCCACACAAATGCCAGTCAAAGCCAAGTAGAGTGGACACAATTAACAGCAGCCTCTCACAAAGAAGATCCGGGCCCTGACAGGACGCTCTAATTAACCCTGCTGTTGTTCGTACCTGAATGGTCGAGTCGATCCGAAAGAGTCGGTTCATTAAATTGCATAGTCGCAATATCGTCTGGAATTTCTTCCGGCTTGGGGAGCTTTGGGCTGAGAGGTCGATCTTGAGGAACACCATTGGTCCTCGCTGGGTCGTGATGCGTCTCCTTTGGGGGTGACTTGGAGGGTTCATTGCGAGGGTCCGATGCATTTTCTGACATGACGATCCAGGTTAATAAGAGGAGAGGCGGGAGGGCTGGCTTGCAGAGGAAGTATTGTCAAAGATTTGTGGCTGAGTTTATGTTGACACTGTTAGGACTTTGGAATTGCTGACTGGAGAGGAGAGGAAGGACACTTGGCGAAGTCTCAAGATCATCCTGGGAGCAAGCATTCTTATACCTGGAGACGCGCATCGGAGGCTTGAGAGAAAGGACTCCCCTAATGTCATCATCTCGATCAGGTTGATGGACTACTTAGCTCAAGCGTAACTGACCAACGATGCCCCTGGTCCTCTACCACGGAGACCGGATCCTGCTCGATTACGCCGGTCGTGTATTTCTTATACTGCAGAAACATGTCAAAGAGAAACGGCAGACCGTTATGCGGCCTGCATTGACGAGTCACATCGTCCTTTGAAGCCCAGACTGAGACACGACCGTCTGGATAGTTGATTGGGAGTGCTTGCTAACCTCTCTTGGAGGCAAAGAGACATTAGTTCAAGATAGAATGAATAGCTTTTCGTCGCCATGTTGTTTCTGACACCGTTGACGATAGCTTTTTGAGGAAGGTGCAGCGGCCTAGGGCCTGCTCCATTTCGTTTCGAGAACCGTTGCCTAAAATCCCACCTCCTGTAAAAGTCCACCTCCTGTAAAAAGTCTACGTTCGTATTCTAGAGTCTCTTGAAGCCAGTGATTGATTATTTTCATACTCCCAGGCGGGCTAAGCCCAGCGGGGTCTAGCTAGTTCTACTCTTTGCTGCTTGGCGGGTCTTCCCGGTTCATAGTTGCCTCCCTCCTTTTGGTCCGCGATATACAACCGACAGCTCTTGAAGACATTCAATTTAGTAAGGCCTACCCAAGTCAAGCGGACCGCGAACAGTCACCTGACAATAATTGCTGCCCAAATTCTAACCCCGCCATCCCCTCACGGTGCGAGAACTTTTTGTCAGCTGTGTTCCGGAAGTCCTCAGACTGCCGTTTGTCTTCAGTACCACGATTTTGGGTTGAAAGCATTTGCTCAAACTCGCCAGTGGTCTAGTTACAATTGGAGGTGTCGCAATTTCCCATCTTCCGTCCGACTTGCACGCCATCAAGGGTTGTTCATCCTCGAGCGCAAAACGACCATTGACGCTGCTAGCAAACTAATCTTACCCATGGTAAGTGTCATTATGAATAGAGACAACATTGCTAATGGATTTTCAAGCCGTCCACGGACATCAACGATCAAGACCTCGATCCATCGACGATAAACTGGGAAGACAGCCATAAAACTCCTCACCGCATTTATGGAACTGGTCGATGGGTATATTGGCGTGATTGTAGGCAGGTGACACTGGCACGAGAAGTGGGAGGGGTGTTCGAACAAGTCAGAGAGATCGATAAAAAGACGGGGCGTGCGGTTCTTCCGGTGGGCTTGATCCTAAAATGCATGGGCGATGGTGGGAAAATGAAGGAGGAATGATGCAGAATGTCAGATCATTCATGTTTTAAAGAGCATATCTTTCACCTGGTATGCTTCAGCTTCTCCGAGGTTGATGTTGAGAATACCGTCTTGGTTGACATTGCCAGGTATATGCATTGTCACAAATCTTGTGTTAAGAATTCCTTGATTTCTTTCCTCCTTTCGCGCGGGACTCACTTCGAGCATCTGGCCCAACGTCGGACCAAGTATTTCAACAATTCCTGCGTCTTGGGCACCTTGCGCAACGACTTCATTTTTGATGAGAAGTTTCGTTCCGTTCGCTTGCTCGATATACCGAAAGTCACCCTCTGAATCCACTTGGGTACCAAAGAGTTTCAGAGCAAGAAATTCGACTTTGCTCGCTAAGATAGCTAGACTCATACAAACCATCCCAAGGGAATATGAATATGGAAATAACATCTCTATGTGGGCTCGTTCGCCACTCTTTCTGACTGCCGACACCACATAGGGGCGGAACAGGGTAGGTAAGTACCTCGCAGGAGGGTATGAGACTGTTTGAAAATCTGATACCTCCCTCAATATGGAAGTTGACTCCGCATTCGTCCCAGTAGTCAATGTGTTGTTGTTCACAACAGGGGGTATAGATGGTTGATGCGGCTGCAAATCTTGGACAACTGCGGTCGAGCTGAACTGAAATTCGCTAGTGTTCTGGGTATCCATTACAACGACTTTTTTGGCCGGATGGCTGAATCGTTGCAATACCTTTATTGCCACGAGACTCATTTAGTAGGCAAAATCGAAACGATTTTCGGTAAATTGCGGCATCTATCTCTTCATAAAGTGGAAGCGGTCGACAAAGCATTCCCCTTTACGCGCTGCGAGAATCTTATCTCACTGGCTATAGAGTGTGACGACATAGCTACTTCAACAAGACAGGATGACATTAACGAACTACTAAGGAACGCCCTATTGTCTACTTCGAAGACCTTGATAGCGTTGACATTGAGATCGAGTCTCTTCTGGCTCCTATCTCCGTCAACCATCCACGCAATTCTCTGGACACGCCATCTGTCAGTCTTATTCCTCGACGGTGCCTGTTATTTGGATGGCAGAGATTGGGTACTTTTGTCCAAAGCCTCGAATCTGGAGGTGGTGGTGCGGGTAGAGCCCTGGATTCAACCTGGGAGTGATATCAATAAACTCATTTTCCAA